TCGGCGGGAGGGAGCCGCCGCCGGGCCACGCTCCCGGCGCTGGGTGTCAGTCCCCGGGAAGCTCCGCTGAGAGGCTAGCGAGGAAAAGAACTGCTCCAAAGACTCGCAGAAGACTTTGGGGGTTTGTGTGTTGTTGCTTTTTTCTTTTTTTTTTATCCGCTTAATTTCGATTCCTAATCGCTAGTGCAGTTGTGCCGGGAAACGACCGAGACCCGTGTTTAAGCAGGCTGTTGGAAATAAAAAAAAATAAAAATCTCAGGGAAGCATTAAAGGTGACCCAAGAAAGAAAGAAAACAATCTATTCTGAGTGTAAAAACGTGGGGTTCATCTCTGTTTTAAAGCGCCGTGCCTCTGTTGGTGCGTGTTTTGTCCCTGCGATGAGCTGTCATGAGTTCGGCGCATAGTTTTGCGGCTCTCCTTATCGTTGGTTGCCTTAAAAAAAATATTTTCTGCTGTGTTTCTAAACCGATTGTAGTTCAAACCCTTCTCTTATTTTCTCGACTGTTTTAAATGCTCTCTTAGCAGAGTGATTTCTATTCCGTGGTCCCTATCCTGCTTGAAATATGTATGGTATTTTTATCGGTCTGTGCGGTGGTGCCACCCTGGGTCGAACCTCTGGGGGTTTCCGTGTTCCTCTCAATTTTGAAAATTTGATTATCAGCTATTTTTGGCTTCGTTCAGAATTTCCTCCTTGAAATGAACTAGAAGTCTTACAGGAATTCCCTGATGCCCTGTTGAAAAAAAGTGAAATGAGTTTTTTGTTGGTACATTTTTAATAACTTTTTGCTCTCTCTCTCTCTCTCTCTTAATTGCCTTTTAATGGCCTGTTTATAACATACAGACCTCCTAAGATGAAGCTAAGAAAACTGTTCTTAACCTTTGTTGATTTCGCTGATTTTTGTCAGATAAATGAACTGCTCCTGGCACAGAGATTTTAGCTGTTGGTTTCCCTCATTCTTTGTGGAAAATGTCGAAGGGACATGTGCCAACAGGAATTTTAGGTGAAGCTATCAAATACTGCCCAATATTTTGGGAGAACTAGGAACTACCTGTTTCTTTAGTCGATTTTCTAGCCTTGGCTTGCATAGGTCTCCATTCTGCTCCTTGAGAGGGTTTTGGCAGAGCTGTTAGCCACAAATGCAGGGCAGTACAGAAGAGCATGGACAGCACTGGCAGACTTACAGAGATAAAGACAAGCGATTTGCAGAGCTGGGCAGCTTCAGACACTGCCAGGGTGGACACTGGAAAGCTCTCCTAGGGACTCCTGAGCATACATTACACCTTTTTGGGATATAATTGGTCTTCACAGTCTGATGGGACTGGTATGTGTGAGACATCAGATATTCTGTATTTTTAAAAATCTAATAATGTTTTTCTATGCATTAAATTAACATAGAAATGCTTTTACATGTATATATATAAAATATACATGTACTGATTAGGTGATACAACCTATCTTATTGGATGGTAGATGTCTTTGATGTGTAATGTGCAGTGTGTAAAGTAATGCAGTTTCCTTGTTCGTTTTCACAAATTTTCCTTCTCTATTATCTTTCTCCCTTTCCTGTTACTTTGAAGACCAACAAGGCTTGTCCCAATGGTGGTGTTCCACCAAGAAGCAGTGGTGAGAAGCTGACTGAACTCCTCCATGAAGTCACAGGAGATGGGTCCTGATTCAGAAGGCAGCACTGCTGCCATGGGGACTATGCTCAGAGAGATACATTGATCTTTAGTAGTGCTGTCGGGGTTTGAGGGAGCTAACCATGAATTCTCTCTGCTGAATTGGACTGGGCTTTGCTTTTACTGCTACAGATGTGCTTCAGCTGCTCCCAAAGCCATCTGAGCCCTTTGAGAATGGATCTGGCATCTCATACAGGTCCAGGTGCCTCAGAATAAAATGATCTCTGTCTCCATACTAATGTCTCCATCATTCACTGCAAGAAGCATGCCTGGGTAGATTGACATCCATGACATGCAGTAGCAATTTGTGTTGCATGCCAATATAGTTTTCTCTAATTTTTGATTCATTATGCAAATGCTGTCATGCTTGGAAAAATTGTCCTGCAAAGAGACCTTGCCTGTTATCTTCTCTGGAGATCCTCAAGGCTGATGCCTGCCACCAGAGCAGTGGCAAGGCTGTAAGCCCACAAATTCTGTAACAAGTTGAGTTTGTTTTTTAAAGGGTAAAAGATCCTGTGGTGTCCATGGTGCCATTTTGGGTTGCTTCTTTCTTGGTTTGTTTTGGTTTTTGTTGGTTTTTAAAGTTTTTTAAATTATAGCAGTAACAGCTTCCAAGTAAGTCCTGCATACAGCTGAGAAGTTACCTGAGAAGTTACCTTCCTTTCTGCTCATTATGGGATCAAGTTATATGTTGGCAGATGTAGCCTGTGTGAGGATTTGTTGAGCTCTTAATCCTGTTTGTGGCTGATAAGTCATGCAAATATGGAAGGGCATCACTTTCAGTATATGAAGATCTTAACTGCTCTCTGTGTTAGGGAAGTGTGCTCTTAAAATGCTGTAATTGTTTTATCAGAAGCTACAGGCCATGAAGTTGTAGATGTAAAATCCGGCAACAGTACAGACCACCTCACCCAGCTTTTTTTTTTTTTTTTTCCCTTTCTGGTTGCTTGTTTGGGTTTTTTGAGAGAAATATTTTTACTTGTTAAGACAAACCATAAAATAATTCCTGTAGGTAATAGAGGAACCAGGCTTTGTATATTGAGTGGGGAAAGCAGCCAGAGAGGAGATATTTGTGAGCCCTTTGAGCACATGTCTATCTTCAGGGGCTGAGAATGTGTGATAATATTCTCTGTTGTCTTTTGCCCTGTCACTAATTTAGTTTCAAGATAGGGATTTTTTTTGTCTTCTTTATCCTTCTTTATTCGTTGTATTGTACACCCATTTTAGATGCAAAGAAGTTAGTCCTACTTTCTTAAAAGTGTGAGCTTTTCTGACTACTGTTGTCATTAAAAATCTTGTAGAATTTCTCAAAAGGTAGGGCATGCCCCAATCAAATTACTCTGCATTAAAGTTCTGAAAGTACAAGCATAATTTTAAGTATACGAGTGACTTGTCAGAGGGGTTACCTTTCCAGTCCATCAGTATGCTGGTCAAAACTTAATGGAAATGAAATAGAGTGCAGTGCAGTGAACTTTCCACTGCAGTTTCCAGTGAGTGTAGAAAACACCAGATTTTGCAATTCATGTATGCTATTTAAGTAGCTACTTCATTGATGGGGGCTGCGTTATTGGGGCCAGAGGAGTTTACCTGTTTGGTTTTGTGGCGAGATTCTTTGGGGATAAAAAGCTGCTGAGCTAAGTACCCTTAGCTTGCCTTCCTGTTTGCTCATCGGCTGTAGTAAAGGCATGCACAAGACAGGGACCTCACTTCCACCTTAACCAAGGTTTGGTGGGAGATGCTGATAAAACCAGAAACTGGAGCTGGATTCATAGGTGGAAGATGGAGGAGAAGTGATTTGTGACACTGACTTTTGCAATATGCACGTCACTTGATAGGTTTCTCCTGAGTGGAGGTTGCTAACAGTGCCCCCTTATATTTTCTCCTGTCTGTAAGAGCTGTTTCTGTGACCATAATGCAGTCTTTAACTGACTTATAAAAATGAAACACAATAATGTGGAAATTCAGTGAAAGTATCAGTCTTGAGTGTTTGGATTATTTTTTTTTTCTTTAAATAGGTAGTAACAATAATGCTGGGGTTTTTCCCAGTCCTCTGCAGGTGCCTGTTGACCTGAAGGTAAAGGGACATAGCAGAGGAGTCTGACTGCATGCAGAGTGGGTGGGCTCTGATCTGCTCAGGTGGGTATTGACTTTCTGTGTTACAGCAGAGGGTCAGAGGAGACAGGTTTACAAGGTTTTGTGAAATGGCCTGATGCGTGGAAGCAGGAATGCTGAAACTCATTATTGGACTTACCAAAGCCTGTGAACCAGGCTAGAATATGAACTCGTGACTGGTGCCCTAAGCCTTAGTGCCAGCTAACCTCTTTTCTGATCCCTTTCATGATTTTTATTTTATCTTATTTGGATTGCACATGTTTTCCATTTGACTTTTTCTCATGGTTCTTTTATTTGCACTGGTATTTTTCTTCCCTATTTACCCCCAGCTGTTCTTTGACAATTTGTCTGATTTTTTTTATTGCATTGTTAGATTTTTCTCCTGTGCATGGCCTATGTTGTTTACATTTATGCTTCCTTTATTCATGTTCCTACATTTTTCTCCTTTTAACTCTTATCCTTAGAGGAACCAGTTTTACTCTTAGAGACCAGCCCTTTCTTATTGATTGCTGGCTGCTTTTATTGAAACTAATTTGCATTCTCTGCTCTTATTATGCTAGACAGAGGAGTAGTGATTTTGAGTAAAGCTCTTTCTCAAAAGGTTTTGCTCGGAAATTGTCTCTATTTCACAAAAAGAGTGGAAAATAAAGAGCAACATCAGTGCAAAAGCTGCTTCTGCCTAAACCAATGTGTTTGTATCTTTGTCACATGAAGAGTAGGAAATGTGGCCTGCCCTGCTGCAGGCACAAATGACTCTTTCAGGCTGAAATGAGCTGGTGTGGTGAGGGGGAGTGCAGAATGATATGGCCTTATGTTTGCTTACATGGGCACCTCTTAGACTCTGGCAGTAACAAACCCAATCCATTTGGATTGTGGCTGTGTTCTGCCTTTGTAATGCTGTGATATATGTATTTATTTATTTTCCATAGACTGCACTAAAAAAATTATGAAGAATAAAGATGTACTACAGTTAAAGAGTTGAAGAGCTGT